TGACTCTAAGTCACAAACCGGATACGTGTATATTTTGAATGGTGGGGCAGTAAGCTGGTGCAGTTGCAAGCAAAGCGTTGTGGCGGGATCTACATGTGAAGCGGAGTACATGGCATCCTCGGAGGCAGCACAAGAAGCAGTCTGGGTGAAGGAGTTCATTACCGACCTAGGAGTCATACCCAATGCGTCGGGCCCGATGACTCTCTTCTGTGACAACACTGGAGCTATTGCCCTTGCCAAAGAGCCCACGTTTCACAGGAAGACCAGGCATATCAAGCGTCGCTTCAACTCCATTTGTGAAAGTGTTCAAAATGAAGACATAGAGATTTGTAAAGTACATACGGACCTGAATGTGGCAGATCCGTTGACTAAACCTCTCCCTAGAGCAAAACATGATCAACACCAGAACTGCATGGGTGTTCGATTCATCACAATGTAACTAGACTATTGACTCTAGTGCAAGTGGGAGACTGTTGGAAATATGCCCTAGAGGCAATAATAAAATGGTTATTGTTATATTTCTTTGTTCATGATAATTGTCTATTGTTCATGCTATAATTGTGTTATCCGGAAATCGTAATACATGTATGAATACATAGACCACAACACGTCCCTAGTGAGCCTCTAGTTGACTAGCTCGTTGATCAAAAGATAGTCATGGTTTCCTGACTATGGACATTGGATGTCATTGATAACGGGATCACATCATTAGGAGAATGATGTGATGGACAAGACCCAATCCTAAGCATAGCTCAAAGTCGTGTAGTTCGTTTGTTGTAGCTTTTCCGAATGTCAAGTATCATTTCCTTAGACCATGAGATTGTGCAACTCCCGGATACCATAGGGGTGCTTTTGGTGTGCCAAACGTCACAACGTAACTGGGTGACTATAAAGGTACACTATAGGTATCTCCGAAAGTGTCTGTTGGGTTGGCACGAATCGAGACTGGGATTTGTCACTTCGTATGACGGAGAGGTATCTCTGGGCCCACTCGGTAATGCATCATCATAATGAGCTCAATGTGACCAAGTGGTTGATCACGTGATCATGCATTACGGTACGAGTAAAGTGACTTGCTGGTAACGAGATTGAACGAGGTATTGGGATACCGACGATCGAGTCTCGGGCAAGTAATGTACCGATTGACAAAGGGAATTGTATACGGATTGATTGAATCCTCGACATCGTGGTTCATCCGATGAGATCATCGAGGAGCATGTGGGAGACAACATGGGTATCCAGATCCCGCTGTTGGTTATTGACCGGAGAGTCGTCTCGGTCATGTCTGCGTGTCTCCCGAACTGCTGGATCTTCTTCAACCTCTCCTTCCCCCTTGCTGGATCAAGTTGGAGGAGACGTCTTCCCAACTGTACGTGTGTTGAACGCGGAGGTGCCGTCCGTTCGGTGCTAGGTCATCGGTGATTTGGATCACGACGAGTACGACTCCATCAACCCCGTTCTTTTGAACGCTTCCGCGCGCGATCTACAAGGGTATGTAGATGCACTCCTCTCTCCCTCGTTGCTAGATGACTCCATAGATTGATCTTGGTGATGAGTAGAAAATTTTAAAATTCTGCTACGTTCCCCAACAGATAATTAGTTTGAGTTTGAAATGCAAACACAAGTGACATGTCAGTCTTTTCCCCATGGTTCAGATAGTTATCACAATCCTACTCAATGTTGATAGAGGCCTTGAACCAAACAACTAAGATCACAATGATCTATTCTGCATCATCCACCAAGCGGTCCAACAAGCGCAATCAACATTCAACCATGGCTTATCAACCTTCCATGCCAAGCATTCACTAAGGGTTAGATCTTCACAAAGCAGGCGATCCCCGAGCCTTTAAAAACTCGTAATTCCTTCACAATGTAGTGGATGAAGGCTTTCAGGTGACTCGATCTTAACCTTCTAGGAGGCGTACACCCTCCAATAGTAAGAAGCAAATCAAAGTCACTAGGTAGATCTTCTCAAAAGATCTTCAACAAAGCGCTTCTCAAGAACCCATACAATCTCTCTCTCTCACAAGGGACATGAGTGGGGTAACAATATAGGAATAGTAGGTGTGGGGTTCAAGAATGAGGAAGGAATTCTTGGCCTTCAAATAACCAAAGAAGTGCCCATGGAATCACCGAAAACTTATTATCTTCCCTTCTTGCCTTGGAGATCTCTCTTTCTATATCCCAAGACTTGAACTTGTGGCAATTGGAATGGAGTAGAATGGAATGAGGTGATTCATTCAAAAGTTGAATGGTCATATCAAATCTTTATAAACCTAAAAAACACAGTGCTCCTAAGTAATGGGATAAAAGAGTTGGTGGTTCTAAAAGACAAAAAGGTGGCTCTTTTTTGTGCGCATTAACTTGCTCTATAGTATCTAGTAAAATCAGCATCTCAGTAGTACCATTGTAGACAGAGAAGTACTTAAATAAAATGTATGCATAGATGTCGAAGTCACAACTTGGGGGTATCAAACCTATACTGTAACCAGACATAGAAGCAAACTATAAGTTGTTCAGAAGTGATGTTTGAAACGTTATGCTTGCAAGTTCCAGAGCTAACAGAAAAATATTTGACATGATTTTGGCTCAGCGGTACCAGAACAAAATGAGTGTCGATTCCAACCTATAGAATCTGAGTTTGGTTGGGGGTAAGGTTAGCTCGCTCATAGAGACTCCATAGTACTAATTAAGAAACCAAAGTGGCACTGAAGCTTTGGAAAAAACTTAGTTGTAGAGTGGCTATTGTGGATCCTTTTTGAGGATCCTTGACAGATCTTTGCATGGCCTTCAAACCAAAGTACCTTTGCTTGCGCCCCTCTACATAGTACAACTTTCATACACTCAATATAGTTATAGCATTGCAATGGAGTATTCTACCTGTTGTGATGGAATCGGACTATCTAGAGGCAGTCAAAATGATCAAAGTTGGAGAAGGGAGCAAATCAAAATATGATTTTATTTTTAGAGAGGTCATTAGTTGTATGAGAGAGAGGGAGGGAGGGAGGGAGAGAGATTCTTGCATTACTCATATCTGTCAGAACTGTAATAGAGCTAATCATTTCATGGCCAACTTTGGCAGGTTGCAACGCCAAACTGCGGTTTGGTTAGGCTCTAGTACAGATGAAGTCCTGGATGTTGCTGGACAAGATTGCAACCCTTAAAGTTTGAATAATGCGAGAACTTATTCACAAAATAATAATACTTCTTGGATTCACTAAAACTTATATATTACAGTATAAAGATTGATGTAGACACCATCTTCAAAAGTTTGAGGTGGGGTCACAATTGATACCAAAATATTCATTAGGACTACATTCCCCAAATATAACTCAATAAACAGTTAGCCCTCTCAATTACTTTGTCATGAATCACCAGAAAAATAATAGAATTATCTACGATATGTACTCTCAGCGTCTCCACTACATCAACCTACAACGACAATTGTTTTGCTGCAATCTCAACTCTACTTTGGGCATGTTCAATAGCATGACATCGGTTGTATGTAGAAATTGAGATGAGGTGGATGAAAGAGAAAGAGGGTTTCTTCATAATTGAAAACAATCGATGGACATCTTACAAATAGTGGTTTTGTTCTTGTATGGATGGTGCATGTAGTTCGCACTCTACACATAGTCAAGGCTAAAGATAGACTAGTTATAGACATATCGTTGTACGTGTTGTCGAAGGTGGTGTCTATGCATGATATGTATTGGTAGTACAAACTTGCCTAAGAACAACTTTAGCAGAGATGTCGTAATGAGCCAATCGTCATCATAACTGTCAGTATGTGATGCTAAATAAATATGACATTCTAGCATAGTCGTCATACTTTTAGAATCATTATCCTTTATAGCTGACCTCCGAACCTTCATATTTAAACTTTTGAAGCGCACTATATATGAAAGCTGCGCGTGGCACGAAGAGAACTTCACATAATTCCTTTATGTGGGGATGACACAGAGATTGGGGGAAAAGATGTCTCATTGTCGAATGAGTCATGTGGTATGAAGGCAGCCAATATGATTAACGATCAATTATGATGTACTACTAGTAAATATTGATGGAACAAAAAATTGATGTATTTTAGACCAAAATTAGTAATTTCAGACTTTTCCAAAACGTGAAATACGGCAGAAACGCGGACGCAAACACCAGACCCATTCTTAAGTACAAGCCAGTGGTGGTGTCCGGTCGAATAGAAAAATAGAATCAGACTCAAGTTCGATCTCTCTCAAGCAAGGTTTGGTATCGGTATCGGTGCGCTTTGCCCGTACTAGGTCTTGAAACTTAGAATCCAAAATCTTCCCTGCCACCACGCTTATGCAGCCGTCTTTATGATTGTCAATTCAGACAAGAAACTATCAAAGATCACCCATAAGGGCTTGTTCGGTTAATCCCTCCCACAAGGGGATTGAAGAGGATTGGAGGGGATTGAGGTGGTTTTTGACTTGTGGGGGATTTAATCCCTCTCAATCCCCTCCAAACCCCTTCAAATCTGAAGGAACCGAACAAGGCCTAAGGGGGATTTCAATCGAAATCCCAAAACAGGATATTAGTTCTTTCTTAGAAATTAATCGTTCGATGTCTGCTCGTTCTCCCCTCTTCAACCAGAAACAAGTGGAGGTTCGATTTCTCACCCAAAGCAATTGGGGCTGGTGAAATCCAAGAAAAAAGATATAACGCATAAGGAAGGAGCTAAAGCGGAAACGTCTTTAGATTGAGTCTCAACTATTGGTTAAACGGTGCATTTCCCTTTACGATTTCCACACACTTTCCTGGGCCAGAAATCCACGGTGTTTCCGCGCTCCCGCGGACCTCGGGGGTCCATTCGCAAGAACGGCGCAGCCCACTTTGACCTCGCCGCACCGGCGTGCCGTGCGCAGCAAGAAGATCAGCGGCCGACCGACCACCCATCCGGAGGCAAAGGCGAGCGCACCGCGCGCACACGCCTTTTCCCCATTCCCTCGGCCCCGCACCTCCCAGATCCCACCGTCCCCATGGCCTTCTCGCGCCTTCTCCCCTCCCGCCGCCTCCTCTCCGCCCTCCTCCACACCCCGACCCCGATCCCCGCCGCGCGCGCCACCGGCCCCGCCGCCGCGACCACCTCCCCGTTCGCCCACACCCTCCAGCCCGCGCGCTTCTTCTCCGCGACGAGGCGGGCCGGGCCGGGCGCCCCGCGGCAGCGCGCGGCGGACATCGGCGCGCGGGCGCGGCAGCTGCAGAGCCGGCGCCTCTGGACCTACGCGCTCACCTTCGGCTGCGCGGCCGGGTTCGTGGTCACCGTGCTCGCCACGTTCCAGGACCAGCTCGTCTTCTACCTCACCCCCACCGACGCGCTCGCGCGCTTCGCCACCGACCCCTCCAAGACCCGCTGCCGCCTCGGCGGGCTCGTCCTTGAGGGCTCCGTCGCCCACCCCTCCTCCTCCAACTCCGAGATCGAGTTCGTCGTCACCGACCTCGTCACCGATGTCCTCGTCCGCTACGAGGGCGCCCTCCCCGACCTCTTCCGCGAGGGCCACTCCGTCGTCGTCGAGGGGTTCCTCAAGCCACTGACCGACGACCTCCGCCGCGACTGGGCAGGGAGAAAGGTCTCCGATAAGGCGCTGGAGGGCCAGTGCTTCTTGCGCGGCACGGAGGTGCTCGCCAAGCACGACGAGAAGTACATGCCCAAGGAGGTCGGCGAGGCCATCGAGCGCAACAAGAAGCAGATCGAGGCGGATGCGGCCGCCGCCGCCGCCGAGGAGAACGCGGCGGTTGCGGTGGATGGAGCCAAAGCAAACTCGTAAGATTTGCTTTTTTTGCTTTACGCTTTAGATCTCGGGTGCGTGGGATTGAGGCATAGATAGATTTGATTGTCCGAATGCGATGAGTTGGGGAATCTCTGCAGCATGATTCAATTGAAGCTGTTGTAATTGGAGTGGTAATTTTGAGCCCTGAAAAAGGGGATTTTGACCGGGGAAATAATGAAAACTGATTGTGTGATAATCCATTCAACACGATTATACGTATTCATTGGGTAGCAATTGCTATGCTCTTATCACTGGGTGCTGTAGATTTTTCTAGTGCAGCTACTGGGTTCTTTTGTTGTGATAACTAAGAGACAGACTATTGAATTTTGGTTTTCATAAGCTATTGTTAGATCTCTTGTGTGTTCATTTCATTAGCTTTTCTCTTGATTTGGATCCATTCCCATACGAAATTCAGTTCACCCCGTGCAAATGCCCATGTTGGTGCCCTTACTATCATGAACTTGCAAAATTCCCTTCCAAGGATGTACTGCATTGCTGGTCTGTATCATGAACTTGCGACAGACTGACGGATGGTACAGTTATTATCCTCCATAATATACTTCCTTGTATGATACTATGTGCTTAATACTCCCTCCGTCCCGGATGACTTGTCTTCCATTTGTAGATGTATCTAGACACGTTTACAAACCTGACAAATCTAAGACAAGTAATTCGGGATGGAGGTAATAGTTCTCATCCTTACCTGTGAAGTACCACTGTAACTGATTGATGACATTACAGAGAACATCATGGAAGCTTGCCACAATTGTCATTGCTGGATATATAGCATATTTGTATTATATTGCTCAGCTGACTTTCATTTCGTGATAATTCAGCAGGGTGTTTTTTGCCAATGCCTACCTGAAGTATTCAGGGTAACTAGCGAGCAAAAGTTGTATTGTTTTCTCTATTATTATTGGGATACATCAGTAGATTGTACTACTTCTCTATCACAATCCTCGCTAGTACTAGTGCCAAATCGACCTGCTAGATTTTTTTTTACTTTAAACAGAATTATTTACGGTTTGGTTGAGGAAGTGATCTTAATGTTCAATTGAACTGTAAAAACGTCTTATTTTCTTTAAATTGGTGTAAGCTTTATTTTGCAAGCATTTGGAAACCTGGAAACATACAGATAAGCGCGAGAAAGCATCCTGTGGAAACCTGGAAACCCAAACAGGAGCCATCAAATCTGAAA